TTCGACCCTCGGACAGAGACAAAGCGCCGCTGGAAAATGTTTACACATCGGGCCGCGAGGCGCGAGAGCCATAATATCAATGGGCCAGGCCCATTGACGCGAGTGATTTATATAGAAAAATTCATTATTTGCCGCCTGCCCTCCTCCACCCCATTTTGCAGTTCATTTTCGAAATGCAAAACGAGTCCTGCGGGGCGGAGGAGGAGGAGGACTCTTTGTAATGGCCCCTTGGCGCGAAAGGAAATGTTACCCGGGTAGCGTCGTCGCTTTATCTTTAATAAAGCTAATTTCTATTGCCGCTAACAGGACCGCGACATGCAAGGAATCGGAATCTCGGAGAGCCTCGACAACGACTTCGACTGGGACTGGGACTGATTGCCGTCGTCCTGCGATTGAATGCTCTGCTGGTAATTGATGTGGGTGCGGAGGCTACCATGTCCGAGACCGATTTCTTGCATAACCACGCGCTCGCATGCGGCTATAATTGATGGCCCATTGATGGCATTGTGGAGCACCAAGCCCAGGTCTAAGGATACCTAGGTGCACACGCCCAGGAATAGCCATAGTCCTTGGGGAAATTAACAATTACAAAACTAAATCAGATCATCCCTGGGCAGGAGTAAGAAAAATTCTTACCCTTTCAGCTTAGAACCTAGATTTTTATTTTATGATGCATAATTATTAGCGAAAATTGAGTTTCGCATTTTATATTTCATTAATTATGCACAGCCACCGAAGGGACTAGGAAATTACGCACAGACCAGAGCACACAAGTCCTCGCCTCCTCCTTCCAGGCCGGGTTATCCCTACACACCTGTGACCGTTTTGGAAACGCATATTTCGGAAGCAAAGTAAAAAAAGCAATGCACCTGCCAGCAAAGGGGTGAAGGGAAAATCTTACGCCTGATTTGATCCGGGCCACCGAGTGTCCTGGGTCGGTTCTTGTTCTTGTGGCTGTCAGTTGCAGGCAGGACGAGCTTCCTTTCGGTTTCCTCAAATGTGACAAATTCGAAATGTGCTTGGCTGGTCAAAGGCGATCGGCGGCCTAGCCTGTCCTGTCCTGTCCTGCCCGGTCCTGCCCTCGATGTCCTCTCCGGCCAATCGAAGAGGAGCTCGGCACCGGCCAGGATGCTCTGCTGCTCACTGAAGAAAACTGTGATGCGGCCATGCATGTTTCATGTGCATCTAAGCATGCATATGGCAGCTCATCCGCCAGAAAGAGCCAGCTATACAGCTGCATCTATATCTCCACATATATATTTATATACACGGGCGGGAAAAAGGGCAATTGGGAGTATTGGGCGCTGGGAGGGGCGGTGGGGGCTTGGGCAACTGCATATTGTAGCTTTGCATTTTATTCGATTGGATTTTATTGTATTTTTCACTTGATATATTTATGCAGCCGGTTTGTTTGGCTTCTCCCTTGAGTTGTCACGCACAAAGGCAGAACTAAATTGTTTAATTTGATTTGAGTTTTTTTTGTTTTTGTTTCGTCTTTTGGGGTCGCCTTGCGTCATGACCTGCACCCTCGTATCAGCCCTGCCCTGCCTCCCCCCACCCTGGAAAATGACTCAATATTGGGCATGGACCTTGGCAATTTTGTAGACATTAAATTGCGTTTTATTTTTCAATATTTATTATTATCGAATATTGAAACGAAAGCCCGAAAGGGAAATCAAATGAAAATGGCGCTGCAAATGGGAGCGGGCGGTATGCAAAAGATACTCCTTTATGGGGCCGGAGATGGGGCTGGGGCAGGTGTGTTTCTGCACGCCACTAGGATATAGGATATACTGGATACACATGCACAATCGCAGCTCGCATATAGAGTTGTACGAGCGTCCAATCTGGCAATGGTTCCCCGACACGCGATACGCCTTTTTCTCAATAGTCCTTCCCCGCCCTTGGTGGCCCTTTCTGGGATTAGAACAAAATCATTTAAATTTTAATCAACCCAAAAATATACCTTTGTGAGTTTCCCTGCCATCCAAGAAGAAAGAGTACTATTCTGTATAAAATATATTCGAATCTTTAGTTTCTTAGAATGTTTGCACTTTCAGTAATATGATTTGTACAATTATTTGCCTGCCCTGCCTGTCCAAAATCTGATATTCATGTAGTATTTTTGTATAATATATCTAAGTTAAAGGCTCTATGTTATATGCAATATCTATATCCATGTAATTGGCTAAACAATGAAGACTATGAATCGGAAAAGCTGGAGACTGGTGTGTGTGTAGTTGAAGAAATTCGTTACCCGAAAAATTGGCTCAAAATCAAGTCTCAAGGATGTCCATTACACACACACGTCAGATGCACACGAACATCAAAATTTGAAGCTGTTTATAAGCAAAAAATTAAATAAACCTTTACATAGCTTCTGATTTTCGATATTGACTTTGACTTCCTCCTCCCAAAAAAACAAAAATCATAAAACGAATGGATCGCAGGCACATTCCTGAATGCCAAGAACAGCATCAAGCAGGAGGTGATCGAGCCGGAAGCGGGAGAGGACGCCGTCCAGCAACAGCAGACGCAGCAGCCCCACGAGGCACACGCCGCGGATCGTCGTCCGGCGGCCTGCAAGCTGGCCAAGTTGATGCAACAGCAGCAGCAGCAGCGGCAGATGTTCGACCAGCGGCGCAGCCACCACCAGCCGCATCACCACCACCAGCCGCATCATCGCCACCACCACCATCATCACCACTTGAATAACAATAACAACAATAACAATAACAACAGCAAGAAGAACAGGTCTGCCAACTCCTCGCCAACGCCGTCGGCTCGCTCCTGGAACGACAGCGACGATGACCAGGACATGGACTCCAGCAACAACAACCAGCAGCAGCAGCAGAACAATAGCAACAACAACGACGACGAAGACGATAGGTCGTCATCGGCCTCCTCGGCCATATCCTTGACGATGAAGAGAACGCGGCAGGACAGCGAGTCCACGCTCTACCAGACGCTCCTGATGAAGCAGGAGCAACACCAACACCAGCAGCAACAGCAGCACCAGCAACAGCAGCAGTACCTGGACGAACTGCAGCAATCGGTGTCGGTGTCGCACCAGCAACAACTGACCGCCAATCTGTTCATGGCCAGGACCATAGCCCTGAGCCGATCCAGGGACTTTCCTGAGCTCTTTCAGAATACGATTGCAGCGGCGGCGGCGAACGCCACAGCAGCATCGGCCAGTCCGGGCAACGGCAGCGGCCCGGGTCAGGTGACAGGAGCGGGAAACCCAACCGGCCCTGCAGCTGGAGCCGGCGGGAATGGAAATGGAGCCGGGGCAGGAGTCGTGGCCGCAGCTGTAGCTGGAGCCGGGGGCAGTAACTACATGCTGCCCTGTCCTCTATGCGAAACCCCGCTAGAGCAACGAGTCTTCCGGCAGCACCTGGACCGCCACTACCCGCGCGACAGTCCCGTGTGTCCGGTGATCGAGTGCGGTCGCCGGTTCGCGCATCCTAACTCCGTTCGCAATCACATGCGGATCAAGCACACCCTGCAGTGGGCCAAGATGAAGGCCATGCGCTCCTCCGGCGGTCCATTCGCCGGCGGGCCGGACTTCAAATGAAACTGCGAGGCCGTGAGCTAATGATCCTCCCCAGCTTTCTAGGTTGCTGCTTCCCAGTCGACAATAAATCGAATCTAACTCGTAATCCAAGGAAACAGAACACTCGCATCTATCGTAGATAGCCAAAAGTAGTCCAAAACCGGAGTCGCGGTCGGAGTCCACTAATCCTAAAACGTAGTTGTAAGCGCACAAGGACCTTGCCTGTTAGCCATCTACTAACTGCAAACGCTTCCAGTCCGCCACTCAGCCATTGAAGTTTTCTTTGTTTTTTTCAAGCATATAGCAGGTTTCAGTCAGTTTTTTGTCCATCAGAGCGTTATTATTTAATCTTCAGCCTAAAATGTTTTATGATTTGTTAGGAAAGTGTAGAAATAGTACGAAATCTAGCGTTTGGAGAAGCTCCTTGGCTGGCGACGGTAGAGAATCGCTTCTGGGCTAGAGGATAGAGGATACCTAAAACAATTATTACGTTCCTATATGCGATAAAGTAAATACGGCCCCCATACCTTTACCTAAGGCCAGAATAAATCTCAAAAGTATGAATTCCTTAACACTACTAGGGCTCTCCAGTAAAGCAAGTGCAGTATTAAACTGAAAAGTAATGGTAATTGAAACCCAAAGAACACACAAGAATAATTAGAGTTAACTGAGCAAGATACGTATAATTTAAGCCATAGAGGATGGTCAACCATGTAGATAATGAGCTAAAAACAGCAACAAAGAAAGTAAATATATATAGAAATATATAGAGTAGTTATTATGAATATTGATACTGAAACAAAATAGAATGTGCCTGCGTAATATATTTTTAGCCAAAAACCAAGAAATTAAATACGATAAACACAAAACTAAATCTAAACTAAAGTTGAGCATTGAATGAGACACGACACAGGAGAGGTTAACCACAAATCGATTCGACTTAGTGAAAAGTTCAAAATTCGAAATGTATTATGTTTCTTACCTTTAAGTTAATGAAATTCTATTCGATTGGCAGTCAAACACTCCAAGAGCAGACATACGTAAAAGGTTCCTATAATGTTAATCAAAAAACAGAGAGATACTAAACACAAAACCGTAACTCCAGCAAGTCGAGACTAACCGACTTCCGACTAAATATAAATTCTATTTCGAAGCGGACAATTTTACAAACGTAGTTATAATGCCTAAAAGCCATAAGTACATGTATGCCATTTTAGTTTGCTGAATTGTTTGAGGGGCGAGAAATGTATCTAGATTCTAGAACGAGTATCGAGTATCTGCATCTGCGTGTTGCCAGGTCGAGATCTCGAGAGTGGGTATGTGCAGACGGCAGATCTATTTTGGTGAACAATAAAGAGCAAACGAAGAGATGAGGCTTTTCATTGGGCTATCTGATGGATATCTTGCTGGAAAACATGACTAAATTTCCACTTGCATCTTGCAGTTTCTCGACGCTCCCTGGAGATGCGCGTTCGCGCCACCGATCCGCGGCCCTGCCCCAAGTGCGGCAAGATCTACCGCTCCGCCCACACGCTGCGCACCCATCTGGAGGACAAGCACACCGTGTGCCCCGGCTACCGCTGCGTCCTGTGCGGCACCGTGGCCAAGTCCCGGAACAGCCTCCACTCGCACATGTCGCGCCAGCACCGCGGCATCTCCACCAAGGACCTGCCCGTCCTGCCCATGCCCAGCGCCTTCGATCCGGAGCTGGCCTCTCGCCTCCTGGCCAAGGCCGGCGTGAAGATCTCACCGGCGGAGCTGCGAGCCCGCGCCTCTCCCACTGGCGGAAGCGGCAGCAGCGGCGGCGGTGGTGGCGGAGCCGGTAGTCAAAGCAAGCTTGACCTGAGCAACGCAAGCGGAGGACCCCTGGACGATGCCGAGGACTCCGACGACGATCCGGAGGACCTGACCACCGGCAACGGACTCTACGGCATGGGCGGCAGCAGCAGTGATCTGAGTCGCTACCACGAGAGCCTGCTGAGCAACTTCGGCCACGCCCGGATGCGCAACGAGGCGGCGGCTGCGGCTGCCACGGCAGCTGCCTTGGGCCAGCAGCCCAAGGACCTGGGCGTCCAGATCCCCACCAGCAATGCTGCGGGCCAGTCCCTGCTGGACACCTATCTGCAGTTCATCACAGAGAATTCATTCGGTAAGTGGTTTTTTATGTCCGAATCCTGAATACCTACTAATACCTCGCTCCTCCTTCTTTCAGGCATGGGTATATCCCAGGAGCAGGCCGCTGCCGCTGCCTTGCGCGCCAAGATGGCCCAGCTGAATGCCATGGGCCACAGCCTGGAGAGCCTGCCGCCCGGCCTTCTGCCCGGACAGTTCGATCTGAGCAAGTTGGCTGCCGGCAATCCGGCCTTTGGCCAAGGCGGACCCGGATTGAGCATTGAGCCCATCCTGCGCCACGACCAGGGACCCGGAAGCCTGTCCCCGCACGGCCACGGGCCACTGGCCCTGAACTCCGGAACCGGACACAGGATGCAGGGCCATGACGAGGTGGCAGACCACGACGGCGCCGAGATGCGACGCGACGGCTCCGAGCCAATGGATCTGGGCCTGGACAACAACCAGTCGGGCAGCAACCACGAGGTGGCCAACTCCGATGCCGAGGACAACTACTCCGAGGACGAGGGTGTGCACAACACATAAGAGCAGGGCATGATAGAGATGCCAAGGACGACGCCAAGACCACGGACACGAACCAGGACAGCACAAATGTATACCGATTACCCATGGAACACATGTAACGAGTAGCCTTATCCTCATGTATACCAGTTTTTGTGTACGATACGATACGAAACAATACGATAGTGAAACCTAGGACTAAACCATATATTGCGCTAGTAGAATTCAATGTTGTGCTTTTTAAACTAAACCTATACGGATATACATTATGTATTATGTGGGCCCGTAGGCCTATATGGTATGTTTACACATACACGAGTACCTGCTGTGTATACAAGTCGGGGAAGATGTCAGGGGGAGCCCAGCCCCCACCAAGGACTACAAACCAGAGTAAAGATCATTAAAAGCTAAAGCCTAGATTGTTAAGTTAGATTTCACATTGAAAGCGAAGCCTGTAAATACATAACTACCGATTATAGAAGGAGCAGCAGCAGCCCCCAAACAATCCGTCGCATTTAACATAGAAAGGATAAACACTGACGCATGTTAGCAGTGCGGATAATTCAGATGTGCCATGATGCATGCCACCAGCCACAAAGACAACAGCCTTCCAGTTCCAAGTCTAGCCACTCCAAACTCTCTCTCAGGAACTCACGCGGTCAACCGAACTACCTCAGCCTCAGACTCGCCGGAGCTGAAACCCTGAAACGATACCTTCCACGAGTTGTCCCATTCTTGTCTCCGGAAAACTTGCCAATTTTCAAACGCACATCGTACGCATGTGCCTAGTTTTAGGGATCAGCATAGAGGAATACTTTACTTGATTATTTATACAACTGGGAATGCCTGTACTTATTTGTCAGAGAGAATTGAATACCTCAGCATACTCAGCATTCGGTCATGGATCCCCGTTCCATCCGTTATCCAATGCGAACCACATGCATTAGAGTACATATACTACATATTGATAATTAAAATATACATTAACTAGAGTTAGCTAAGCAAGACATAGATAGATGTAACCACGCGTTTCCTGTATGTATTTAGTTCGAATATGCCTCAGTTAATCCTAGGTTTATGGTTAGCTTCAATCGAAGATGAGCAGTTAGACGGACGGACAGACCGAGAGACTCTACAAGAGTCGCCTACCACTTGCCTTACGACCAACATATGTGTTACTTTAGTAATTTTCTACCTCAATTAATTTAAATGTAATTTACCTGGATATTTATTTGTAAGTCTTGCAATATCGCACTCTCGGATACTGTTTCAATTCATTACCAAGGACCTATCTGTTATCCTTATGTCCAGTCAGCAGACACACATAAATAATGTATGAATAAACAAGATCCTAAGTACATGCGAGTATGTTTAGATTTTAGTTTTTAATCCTCGGTTCTAGACACTTTTCCCTCCTCTCACTCTCGCTAAGGTTTTTGGCGCAGGGGGAGTGCAATAGATTGCATTTTCCTAGGCTTGAAATGCATTTAAGGCTAATGCAATTCGGTTAAGACGTTAGTTTAAAAATCAAATGAAAAACAATTAGTTAAAAGTCGTTACATAAGCAATATAAGTAGACATCCATGTGCTTAGAAAGTTATAAATATTTATTGACACTACAATAAAGCCGCGTTATGAAGAACAAACGAAAGTCTTTTCATTTGGGGGTCGAACATGTGGATATCCTGTAAAAGTAGGGAAGTCTCACCAAAAGACGTATAAATATAGTGGAAATATATTAAGAACTTCACCCAAATTACATATTTTTTACATTTAAATACAACTTTACACCAAACCAATGCAACACCACACTTAAAACATAAAATTATAATAAATTTCCTTTCCTTAGGATTAATTAGCTTGTAGCTTCACTAGCTCATGCTGGATCCTCCAGCTAAGACTTAGTATGGATCTGGAAATAGTTCAACAAATTAATAATCTGGAAAAACTTAATAAATCCATTTCTTACCATATTAAATATTAAAGTTTATAATTGTAAGAACTTGAAAACAAAACTTGGGTTTCATTTGAAATTCTATATATATACATTAAGCGAATAAAGTATCCTAGTTACAAATTCGAAACCTATTTGGCTGTTTGGCTAGATACTTTTTCCCTCAACTCGAGAATCTCATCCTTTCGTAGCACCAGGACCTTCTTCGCAGCCTCGTACTTCTCGCGGAGAGTAAGCATTTCCTTTTTCTGACTTTCGCATTGCGCCTGGAAAGGGTTTTTGTTAAAAAAAAATTAGGTAACTAATTAAGATTGTAAGCTTACTGACCTTCAGGGAACTAATTTGGCCATTAGTTAGAGAGCAAATGTTGGAAGTGTCCATATTTTCGTTTTGCTTCAGCTTCTCCTCCAGATCCTTGATGAGACCGGCACGGAAGCGACACAAACGAACAGTTTCATGGTATTTCTTGTTTGTTTCCTCCATTACCTTTTCCAGTTCGGATTCGGTTTGGGTTTGAGTTGAGACCACAGAGGGATTTCCGCTGTTAGCTGGACCCGTACTGGATGGTCCACACTTCTCAGAGAGATCATTTATTTTAATGGTAAGATCGTGGATTTTCTGTTTGAGCCGCCTTTGCTCGGAGCGCGCCTTCTCCTGCTCCACCGTGATCCGCTTCTTGAGCTGAGCATTTTCTTCCTTAAGCGGATGATGCTTCAACTCCAAGTTGAGGGCAGTCACTTGACTCTCACGGATAAACAGTTCCCGCTGGCAGGTCTCTAATTTCGAGTTCAGCTCAGCGCAACTACAATTACTATCTGAAAGATAAGGATTAGAGAAAAGCTTCCAATCTTGCAAGAAGCAACACTTACCCACGGGATCCGTCATGGTGGATGATTCGCGGACATCATTCCAGTAGGAGTGTCTTCGGTTCTCATCATGGACACTGATACGCCGATTTCTGCGGACCTCTAACTCGGAGCTCAAGGATTTCTGAAAAAGATAAGAGTGAACCCTTATACTTGGAATACTTTCTTTCAAATCAATACTTACTCTCGGGACTGGTAGACCTGTATTGCGATCTAGACTCTTTCTAGGTGCAGTAGATGCCACTGATCCAGTAGATGCGTTCGAGTCGAAAGACAAGTTGCTTCCGTTAGCTTTCAACCCAGATGCTTGGACAGACGCCAGTTCGCTCTCAAGCTTTTTCAAAATTTCATTGAGGGTGCAGACTTTCTCCTCCAAGTTGCGCTTGTCCTCCAGCAGACTAGAAATAGTACCGTCCATGCGTTCCTTCTCCGACCGGAAACTTGATTCCTTTGTTTTCTAAAAATTAATAAGTTTAAAACACAATAAACTACAAATTGTATCCAAACTCACCAAAGACGATCTTAGCTTCTCAGTTTCCGTAGAGAGTACTTGGACCCTCTGATTCATTTCGAGTAGTTTTTCCTTGGTAACCTCAAGTTCCCTAACAGAGGCTTCCCGCATGGACTCGATATTCGCATTCCGTGCTTTCAATTCATTGACAAGTTTCATATTTTTAACATTAGTCTCCTCCAGGCTTTGCAGTTTCCCAACCATCTCTTTGTTTTCCTTGGAAAGTTTTGTTAAATGCAAGTCCATTTGCTCCTTTTCCTCTTCGAAAATACTGGTTTTATTTTCCTGAAAGCAGCGAGAAATAAAAACCAATAACCAGAATGGTATAAAAAAAACTTACGATTTCCAAGCGTAGCTTTTGATATTCCTGGGTAAGCTCCCCAAGAGACCGACGACCCTGTTCCACTTCCTGGTGGATCTCCTCGGATCTGTGGTTGATCTCAGCCTCCTTGGCCCGCAACTTCTCCTCAAGATGCATACGAGATTCTTTTAATTGGGAAACAAGCTGGCGCTCCTCTTTCAGATGGGTTTCCAAAATCTTATTGGTTTTCTGCTCAAGAAGTAATAGTTTAATCCTCGGAATATAAAAAAAAAAGTGTAACTTACTGTTTCGCTTCTTAGTATCTCGCACTGCTGGTTAAGTTCAGTAAGTGTCTTGTGTCTGGCCTCTATTTCCCTCGAATACTCTTCAGATTTCAAAGAAAGCGTGGCGTCCTTGAATTGAAGTTGCCTTTCCAGCTCTAAACGCGACTCTTGCAGTTGGACAATGGTTTTCTTTTCCTCTCCCAACTGTATTTGCAAGTTTTGGAAGTTCTTTAGTTTCACTTGCATCTCCTCGTTCCTACCCTCCACTTCGATCTTTTGCTCTTGAAGGCTTTGTATCTTCAAGTTAAGCTCGCCTACGGATGCTTGCAAGTCGGTCACCTGCTTTTGGAACTTATTAGCCTGATTGATTATCTCGTTTTCAGATTCTTCTAGTTGCTTTAGAAGCGTTTCCTTTTCGTAGCTGGTTGAATCCCTTGCTTTCACAGCAAGCTGTAGTTCTTCGCGAAGGGACTGCACATCGAGATCTTTTCTAGTCACTTCTTCTTGGGCTTCCTTCAGTTGCGAGCTTAGGTCAACCACCTTTTCCTCCATAACAACGCCAGATTCTCGCGCCGCAGCGAGGGATACTTTGAGCTCCTCATATTGGGAACGAAGCTCCTCCTGTTCAATGGCTTTCTGCTGCGCCTTTTGGAGGGATTCTTCGAGGTCACATATTTTGGCTTTGAGGGTTTCTATCTTATCTTCCATGTCACTTTTTTGGGCATCCTTCTGTGTAACTAAAGATTCCAACTCCAGCTGCACCTCCTGCAGATTCTGCGATGATACAGCCTGTTGTGCAATGGCGTCTTCTAGCTTTGAACTCAGGATTTCTTTCTCCTTCATAAGACTTTCCAACTCGATGCTCTGGTTGTGATACTTATTCTGAAGCTCTACTATCACTTGGTCGCTGTTGTCTTCATCGCGAGCTTTAATCTGCATCTGCAACTGCTCCACCAGTTTCTGACTCTTCTCGTAAAGCGATTCCATCTCCCGCATTTCTTGTTTGAGAGCATCTAGAGCCAAGTCCTGCTCGCCCTTCAACTTTTCCAGTTCAAGGACCTTTTCATTGTCGGAATTCCTCTGATTCACAGCATCCGCCAAAGTGCACCTCATCTCCTCCAGCTTGGCCAACACTTTTTCCCGCTCCTCTTCGGCTTTGCTGCACTGTTCCTTTAGCGTTGTTTGAACATTCTCCAGTTCCATGGAGTGGAGAACATCAACCTCAGCCTGCTCTGCTAGTTTCTGTTTCAGGATTTCTCTGATCCCCTCCAGCTCAGTTTGGTGCATATCAGCGGTTTTGTTCCGCTGCTCCTCTGCTTCATTAAGTTTCAGTTCGAGGGAGGCCTTGATGTCCTTCAGCTCAGACTGGTAGCTGGCCGTCATTTCAGCAAACTCCCGTTCAGCCTGCAGCAGCTGCTCCTTCAATGTGGCAACATTGCTTTCGTATTTGTCCCTACTCTCCTCCCACTCCTGGTTGTACTTGCGGAAGTTGGCACGGTTCTCGCTCTCGCAGGTTTCAAGCTTCTGCAAATATTCCAGCTTAAGATCATTTATCTCCTCCGTCTTGGATTTGAGGTCTTCCTTTGCATTTTGAAGCTGTTCCTGTAGCTCTTCTAGTTGCTTTTCCTGCTCCGGTGAGATTTTTCCTTGATCCTGTATGCTAGCCATTGCATTCAAGCGCTCCTGAAGTTCCGCTAACGATTTCTCTGCCTTAATACTGCGATCCAGGAGATTCGCATTCGATTCCTGCAACTTGTCGATGAGAGTTCTATCATCGGACAACTTCTGTGCTTGGCGATCGAGTTGCTGCTGCTTCTCCTCGGATTCCAACTCCAGTTCCACTTGCCTCACATCCATAGATAGACATCGTTCGTTTAGCTCGTGGATCTCGGCCTGCAGCTGGTCAATGTTCTCATTCTTCAGCTGCAACTCTTTCACTTGTTTGTCCAGCTCTCCCTGGAACTGAATCACCTTGGCGTTTAGTTCCTCGAGAGAAACTTTCAGAATAGTCATTTCTTCGGTCTCCAGTTGCGCCGGCATCGGACTCGGTAGGGTCTCATCTGTACGAAGAATACTTTCACACAGTGTACTGTCCCTGAGGGCCTTCTCCTGCAGCTCCTCGCACACCATCGAAATCTCTGCATTTTGCTTCTCAAGACATTCAATCTGCCGCTGATAGTCCTCCACCTTGTTGACGATGACGCTCTTCTCGAGAAGAGCCGACTCAAGGGTAATTATCTGTTCTCGCATCTCGTTAATATTCACCAGTTCCTCCTTAAGCAGATCATTCTTCTCTTTAATCTCATACTGGAGCTGAGAAATAATCGCGTGCAGTCGTTCCTCTTCCGCTGATCTTTCTTCCACTAGCGCCTCACTGGATCTAATGATTTGGAATCGGTGCTGTTTAATCAATCCTTTGAGAACTGTGGAATCGCCAGAATCCGTTGGAGAAGTTTCATCCTCAACGTATTTCGCAGACTGCAGACACAGCTTAAGGAGGTGTATGCCCTGATCTTGACTATTCTCAAGTTTCATAGCTCGGAATATGCGGCTACAACCAGAACTAAGCTGAACTTCTATTTGGTGAATCGAATCTGAAATTCTAGCAAACTCTCCTGAAAGATCTGGCTCATATACACTGCTCTCCATGCCTACTCCGGAACTCTTCATCGACTCCAAGCCGCTTAATGGGCGAAGCTTGAGCTCATCACGCAAAGCATCGTTCTCCTGGACACTTTCCATTAGCTGATTGGAGAGGCAGTCATATTCCCGCTGGATCTCATCAAAGCTGGCCTGCAGGTCCGTGATTTGTTTCTTGAGAGCCTCACTCTCCGCCTTGCTAGATTCAGCTAGCTTCCTCTGCTCCAACTCGAGACTCTCTTTCAAAGTATCCATCTCCACTTGGAGGGTCTTGTTGTCGGCCTCCAGTTGCTGACATTGCTTCTCGAAGTTGTTCGACCTAAGTTCAACCTCTTCCAAACTATTCTGCAGATCCGTGATTTGTTTCTTGAGGGCCTCATTCTCCTCCTTGCAATCTGCTGCTAACGATTCGAACTTTGAAGATTCAGCTAGCTTCCTCTGCTCCAATTCGAGACTCTCTTTCAAAGTATCCATCTCCACCTGGAGTCGCTGGTTGTCGGCCTCCAGTTGCTGACATTGTTTCTCAAAGTTGTTCGATCTAAGTTCGACCTCTTCCAGCTCATCGCACTTGTGGCAGACCTGAGACTCTGCCGGTTGACACATGGAGCGCATGAGATCTTCCTTGCTGTTGCGAAGATCCCGAGTCATTTCCTCAAGGGACTTTTTAAGGTCCTCTATGGCCGCGTCCTTTTCTGAGAGGGCGGATAGAAGGTCCTTTTCCCGTTGGGCGGATCTTTCTTTTTGCGATTTGAACTGGAATTCCAGAGTGACTGCATCACGGTTTTCCACCTCCAATCTGGCCATTGTATCCTTCAGAGCTTTAAGCTGCTCCTCGTAACATTTTAGCTTATCGCTCGCTTCCAAGTTGTCCGTCTTCAAAGCGCTGACCTCCGTTTGCAGAGCTTCACATCTAAAAAAATAATGAACTTGATAAATTGATTCGAAAAATAAAAGATCTACAAGTGTCTAGCGCTGATGGGCATGATTAAGCGTTACCTGAATACCTTTTTCAAATATTTCTCCACAATTGAAAAACTCACCGCTGCTCTTTGGTCAAACAATCTTGCTCTAACTGATCTTTCTCGGCTGTGACTTGATCCAACTTCTCCTGAAGCACCTGCGACTTCTCCCACTCCACATCGAAGTGCTTTTCTAATTTTGTGAATGTTTGTAGCTCCTGGATCTCCTTGATCCTCTCCATACTAAGATATTGCGTATGAGCCAATGAATTTGTAAGATGAGGATGAGGATGGGGTGAGGGATGAAATGGAATGCAAATTCAGAAGTTATACTTACGTTGCACCTTTCATCTCACTTGCGACAGGGGTCAAAGGTAGCAGCATGCTGTGCAACTTCGTTTTCTGGATAGCCGGTGGTACTGCATCAAAGTCGATACAGTCTGCGGGCAAGAATTCCTCGTCGATTCTACTGTCATTGGAACCCAAGGCCAATGACTGCAGGATGTTGATCGTCTTCGGCGCCTTGTCTAATCGTCCGGTAATATGGGAATTGGGAAAAAACGTGGGTTTCGGTAGATGAGAGAGCTTGGAAAGTGGAGGATGATGAGAGCTCTCTGCCAGACCAGCACTTGGCTCCTGTTGGGTTTCCGCACTTTTCTCCGGGCCAGGACACCAGGTACGACGACGTTTCTGAAGCCGCTTGTCGCTGAGGGATGTGCTCGAGATAATCTTGAGCATGTCCCGTTTTATGCAGCGCTCCAACTCCTGCACTTTCAGTTGGCTCTCGTTCTTGCGCTCTTCCTCGGCAAGCCGATCCTTCAAGTCCTTTATTTCGCGTTCAAGCCGTTTCATCATGGTTGCATCAGACACCATTTCGTTCAGTTGGGGCTTGGTCTTTATCTTCTTGGCGCGCATGGCAAAGCTAAGCGTCGACTGAGACTCCTCCAGAATCGAGGGCTTGATGGTACAGATGATGGAAGTGAAGGCATTTCCTCCCAGTGAAGCTTGAAGGATGCGTGTGAGCTTAGAGTCCCGGAAACTAATGAACTTGTTACTCGATTGCTCGGCTCCATTCTCACTCTCCCTCTCCGCCAGATTTTTTATGACATTGCTTAGGAAGAGCAGGCTCTTGTTGATGTGTCCCCCTTCCTTGAGCCTAGCACCGGTGGCACCAGTTTGGTCTGCTCGTTCAGAGCCAGCCAGGTCCACCAGGTTCAGAACACTTTGATTCACAGCGTCGTCTTCGGCACGGTCTGACTTGCGTGATTCGATGATCTATAAGTTTGGGAAAAGGAGTTTGAAAAATTTATCCAAAATCGAAAACGGTAGAACTTACAATACGAAAGATGGCATGCGAACGGCTGGAGCGCTCGTTCATGTTAGTCTCGCCCACGGTGCGTTCTTTGTTGCCCATGCTGAGGAGGCGGAGGAGGTCATCTTCGCATGTTATTATGCACTCCTCACAATTCACGTTCACCATTCCGTTGCCGACTTCGTGTATTTTAAGGTCCTGGTTCTTCTTGTCCAGCAGGTCGTAAATTTTCTCGTTGTAGATTTCAATATAGCCCACACGCAGCAGAAAGTCACGATCCTTCTCCTCGGAGATCTGTCGGAAGATTTCTTTGGCGGCCAGCACCATCACACCCGGGTTTTTGTTGTCGCCCATCATAGTATAGGTTTTTCCTGCCACGAGGATCGATCTGTTATTGAGGGATCAGCCACAGTGCAATGTATGTAGATGTACTCACCGGATGAGGTCTGACCGTAAGCAAAGATGGTTCCGTTGAAACCCTGCATGCAGGCGTGGACTATATGCTTAGCCATCCGGTCGAAAACCTCCTGGTTATTGGCACCCTCATCGAAGACATAATCTGTTGAGAAGGCAGGGGAATGAGCCGTGTCCAGATAATGGGAAACAACTCACCAAAAACGCAGGGCTCCGCGTGGCTGTCAGCTAGCTGGATGGTGCGGCCCTCCTTCACCTGCCACAGCCGCGAGAGTCCTGGCTCGCAGGGTCGCACTTTAATGGCCACCTGGATAGATCGGGATCCTTTCGCGGACATTTTATAGGTTTTATCTTATAAATTCGCGGAACACGAATACAAAGCACAAAGGTACGAACACAAAACGACTTAACTACACTCAGAATTCCAACTTTCCAAATAAAATGGTGATCGCCATCGGCGTTCCTAGATCCGATCACTTCTTTATTTTCTATCTCGATTTGGAATTATTAAAAATATTCAATTTTACGTATAGGACTTTATATTTGCCAGCGTTTAACCGCTCACTTTGTTGTTGAATTCAAAAAAATGCCGCTTCTTAACTGTTTGGTCGGCAGTGGTGGAAAGAGAAGTGATGAAGCAAGGTCAAAAACAAAACAGCAACAGAACCAGTTAGAGATGGGACTCACGATGAACTAGTTCTTTAAAACAGTGTAAAATCGGAACTACTATCTCATTTCCGTTAATTTAAAAAACTTTTAAAAAAGTGTATCGAAAAATATCTTTTAAAGCTTTGATGCAGAATATGCTATCCCGCTAACGGATGGGATAAAAATCGAGAAAGATTTATGGCAGTGGAACTCAAGTATCTACAATTTTTATACCACAAAACGAAAAAAGAAAAGAAATCGATCGGAGAATTTTTTTTTTTGATTTCTATGTCGAATATTAGAGAATAAATATACAAATTTTTTAAGTTATTCCCCAATTTTCCGAAGAACCAAAGAGAGAAAAAACCATCAAAAAATACGTCATAGGATTTGGATACATATTAATAATGAATTAAATTAAAAATCGTGCAGAATAGGATTAATAATTGGATGATAATTAAAAAAAATACATATATCACCTTGTGGATAATTTAGGACATACACATGAAATGAATGATAAATTTCCTTTATTCAGCGATTCAACTAAAATTGATAACATTTTGATAACTATTGCCATTCTAATTGAATTGTTTAAAATTTGGAAATTTGTACTTCAAAGAAATACAAGCTACCATTTTAAAAAATTCAATAGAATGGCTTTGGGGGAAAGATTTTACAATGGATTCATACCAAACTGTTCTTCAAAATTTTAAATTTTCTTCATTAAAATAATAAAGTTTGATTCCTATTTGAAATATTTCAATTAATAATGTTTTAAACTTGGTACTAATTCCATTGAATTTACCTTATTTGACGGAAAAAGTCAATCTTTTTTCGACGTTCTGGGACAAGATCTGTTTTTAGGTGGTCGTCCATAAACTTGAATCTGCTTGAAGGAAGCATGTAGAACACATTGATGGGGCGTCGACAGTATTCCGCATCTGGCAGGACTTCCTCAATCTTGCAGGGAGGCTTCATCTTTTGTCCAATGGCACTATGATCGGAGTAGTCATGTGAGTAAACCGAAGATAGGGGCTGTGGTTTCAGAGGGGGTATTCCTGAAGCCGCCATTTCAGGATACCTATTAAAAGGATTTCAATTTACAAATGTACAAGCTTTGAGCCAAAAACCATCATAGAGTACTCACTGTTTTGAGGATAACGACCGGAAGTTTAGTATTTTTTTAGAAACATTACGTTGTCTGGTATAGTTTTCCGGCGTCTTGGCACCCAATTCCAATGCTTCCTGAGTCGAAGACTTCAACCCAAACATGCAAGTGTTTACATTATCGATAAAGAATACGTTCGACTTTTTCCGGCATTGCATGGTGGAATTTCAAAAAAAAAAATATAATAAGAATAACAAATTTCTAACGAATAAATATTCTCGAAATTGTTTACTTGACAAGGAATGTGTGGCCTTTTGTAGAAATTAAATATATCATTTATAGATTTTAAATTTATCATTTAAATATAAAATAAAGTGGGCTTTCATAAAAAAAATTAAAGGTAAAATTAAGTAACTAACTGAAAAGAAGGGAAAGTTTAATCGCATGAAAACACCACTTCTCTTTAATCGAATATGCCGCCATAAAAGGCAATGGATTCTGATTCCTAGTTCCATGAAAAATGAAAAAATGGCTTTTAATTATCGATACATCTAATATATTTACCATCTAATATATTTAACATCTAATCTATGTTATAAAAATAATAAATCAATATAAAAATAGACTTAAATCAGGCAAAAGATTGTTTCCAAAAAAATATTTATAAAAAAATTATTTTTTACATTTGAACGAGCTTTTCGATAAATTGTAGCTAAGTTTTTGACACAATAGCCAAGTTGGCGGCTTTTTTTGTAGTGGCCTGGTACATCAATTTCTACGTCTCTCGAAACAACAGCTAAGGAGGCGGGTGTTTTTTCAAATTCAAGTCTGAATGGCAATGGAGATTTAAAATTTATTATTATTCTAACGCGCCAACTGAAAGGTCGTGTTGTGATTTTCGAAATTTATTTGTACCGCATTTTTGAATTATTTTTTGTGGCGGCTTTTTTGTGTATTCTTTGAAGGCCCTTAATTTTATATAGTAATTTTAAACAATGTCAACGAAGACATCTCGCCGAATTCGAGTGGGCGTTAGAGTGTGTCCGTGCGAACAAGGTCACTCCCATCTGTGGAGGGTGATTGATAAGCAAAGCATACAAGGAAGAGGAAGCCAGAATGAGACCCAGGTCTTTGGTAAGTGTCTGCCATGAACTGGACTTCCCCCATGCCTATAGCGTTTCCATGCTGAACAGACCATGCTTTCGACGAGAGAGCCACTAACCAGGAGGTGTTCGACAAGATGGCCCAGAGCATAGTCGGATCCTTCATGAGGGGAATGAACGGGACTATTTTTGCTTACGGCCAGAATGCGTCTGGTGAGTATTTATACTTTTGAGGCTCTCGATCGTGTACTGATGCCTTGGTATTTGGTCGGTCCATGGCACAGGAAAAACATATACCATGGAGGGTGACACACTAAATCCGGGAGTGATGGCGCTGGCCGCCAAGGAGATCTTCCAGCAGATACTTCAGCAGATGGATCGAATAATTCTGCTTCGCGTTGGCTACTTCGAAATTTATAACGACAAGATGTTTGACTTACTGGATAAGACAAAAGACGTTAAGATTCAAGAAACAAGCTCTGGATTGGTCAAAATCGAATGTGAGAGCATTGTTGCCTCGGAAAATGAGCTCCTTCAGCTAATAACCACAGGCAGTAAACAGCGTCGCATGGATGGTCGGTCAAGCCGTTCCCATGGAATTTTTCGTATGGTGAGTCCATGTTATAGTTTTTAATGTAACTTCCAGAAACGTGTGCTATAATTCGCAGATTATGGAATCCCACAAATGTGAAGGTATCGCGGACGAAGCTGCAAGGCAAAGCATTCTGAATCTGGTGGATCTCGCTGGTTATGAAAAAGAACAAGTGGGCGCCACAAAAAAGCGACAAATAGAAAGGGAATTTATCAACAACAGCCTCCTCTCTCTTGAAAACGTTATAAAAAAACTGGCGGATTTGGAGTCTAAACAAAAGACCAGCAGCATGCCAAGTTTTCGAGACTCTAAGCTCACGCGCATCCTTCAGGAATCGCTCTGCGGCAATGCAGTAACTTCATTTATTGTCACGATTAATCCTTCCGTTTCAAACGAAACTCAGACCACTCTTGAGTTAGCTAAGAAAGCCATGACTATTAGCACCAGGCCTATCTTCAATAACGTTCCTTATGATGATACGGAGTTGAAGCGAATTGAAGGCGAAATCGAGCATTTAAAGAAACAGCTTATTCAAGAGAAGCGCAAGAACAACAACCAATCAAGAATATCTGAGCTGGAGCATTTCATTGAACAAAAATCCTCAAAGATTATATTCACCAACTCGCTGATCGAGAAGCAGCAACAAAAGCGACGACGCAGTTCATGGCCCGTTCAAAATCGTGTACCTTTTCCCGAGGACACCCCACTACCTCGACTAACCAAGCCTTTACAGGTGCAGAAACCCAAACCTCCAGCCCCTTCTCGCATACCATTCCGGCGCCATTCCACTGTCACATCTTTGAGGAACAACTTGGCGTTGTCTGGTACAAAGGATGCGGTGCAAAAACCCTCCAAAGTTGAAGACAAAAAGGCAAAAAACAAAACTAGGGATGCGGTGCAAAAACCCTCGGAAGTTGACAGAAACTCAAAAAAAGAATCGGAGGATGCGGTGCAAAAACCCTCCGAAGTTGATAGGCCCAAATTCAAGCATGAACCTAAGGAAGCGGGTCAAATACCCTCTGAAGTTGAAAGAATCCAAATACCCTCTGAAGTTGAAAGAATCCAAATACCCTCTAAAGTTAAAGAAAAAATGAAGAAGAAAGTACTTATTGATGCGGTGCCAAAACCATTCGAAGGTGAAGATGCAAATAAAGAACATAGGGATGCGGTGCAAATGCCCTCTAAAGATGAAGAAAAACCCTCCGTTGGTGAAAAAACAAAAGCAATGAATGAACCTAAGGAAGCGGGTCAAATACCCTCTGAAGTTGAAAGAATCCAAATACCCTCTAAAGTTAAAGAAAAAGTGAAGAAAGTACTTATTGATGCGGTGCCAAAACCATTCGAAGGTGAAGATGCAAATAAAGAACATAGGGATGCGGTGCAAATGCCCTCTAAAGATGAAGAAAAACCCTCCGTTGGTGAAAAAACAAAAGCAATGAATGAACCTAAGGAAGCGGGTCAAATACCCTCTGAAGTTGAAAGAATCCAAATACCCTCTAAAGTTGAAGAAATGAAGAAGACGGTACTTAATGATGCGGTGCCAAAACCCTCCGAAGGTGAAGATGCAAATAAAGAACATAAGGATGCGGTGCAAATGCCCTCTAATGTTGAAGATGCGGGGCCAAAATCCTCCGAAGGTGATGACCCAAAATCCAATAACGAACCAAAGGAAGCGGGTCAAATACCCTCTGAAGTTGAAAGAAAGCAAAGACCCTCTGAACTTGATACAATTTTCACAAAAGTACTACTTACTTATGCGGTGTCAAAAACCTCCGGAGGTAAAGAAAAAAACGCAAATATAGAACAAGTGGTGCAAATACCCTCTAAAGTTGAAGAAAGCAACGATGCGGTGCCAAAACCCTCTGCGGTTGAAGACAGAAAAAAGAATGAACTGGAAGCCTCAACGTGAGTAGTAATGGGGGTCAATAATTTTCATCTGTGGTTCATCCTCTTCCATTTGTCTTTCAGTTTGTTTATTTGAATCGCCTTCTAAAAATAAATAATTTATTAATGACCATTTATTTATAGGCAGAAAGGCAGTTTGTAGGAGTAGGAGTTCTATTTTAAGCTAAAACCAGGGTGTCTAAAATGTTTATTAGTTTAAACTAAGGACTGTGTTTATTGAATTAACTGTATCATTTTTTACTACGTAAACGTTAGATTATAAGAAAAAATGCATCCATAGGTTAGGAAGATATACAAAGTTGCGTGACCCAAAAAAGCAGGATTTTTTAAATTTTCCTACCAAGAGAACTAAAGATGTTTCAAGAAAATTATAATTGAGCTATTTTTAAGAAGATTCTGGTTTTAGAATAACAGATAAGAGATCTTTTTATGAAGAAATCATACACAAAAAATTTCTGATTCCACTTCTTGTAAGAAAAGTCGTCTAAAAATGGAGCTTTGCGGATCTCGTTTTTGTCGATTTCGAATATCTAAAATTGAAAACTTTGATTTGAATTCATCAATTCAGGCAACAAACGAGGTATTTTGAAATGCACATTTTTTAACACCATAACTTGTTTTTTTCATAGATCCAACGTCTTTAGAAACACTGTTTTAATAAAAGTTTTAAAGTCCTTGAAAGTTTTCCAGCTCCCTTTATGAAACTCTTTTTATATTAATGTATAGCTCAGAAAATATTTATAGAACCAAGGCAAAGGACATGCTCATATACTCATGCTCATGTATGTGTAGATTGGAATAAAATAAAAAATGTATTTTCGATTTTTTGAAAATCCTAACTGCATACAACCCGTTAAGAAACAATAGCCAACTGGACTGAACCATTTCCATTATTTTGAATCTCGTAATCCACCTCTGTTGGCCGCTCACCTGGCACCTGAGTGGGCAAAGTGGTGAATAGGCCGGGGCCCTGTTCTACGCGGCTCACGCCCGAGTCTTCTGGCGCAGTCTTCGCTCGCTCTCCTCTCTTTCTTTATTTGGATCTCAGTCGTTGGGGAGCAAGCTCCACGCTCGAGTTGCGGGTGCAAGTCGCGAAGAAATCGAAATCGAAAACGAAAATAAAAACAAAAACAAACGCCAACGCAAACACTCTCCAAGCGTAGAGGGCTAGGGCGTTCGGTAGCGGGCCGGGAGGACGGGTAGGTAGCGTCTATTGAGCCAGTTTCGCCAATAGACTCTCGACTGTCGACTGGGCTGGAAGCGATGACGCCCCACTCGATCGTTTCGCGTCTTTGACATTGGGGCGATAAGCCAGGCGGTCGGGAAGCCAGTTACCTAGCCAACTTCTTGATAATTTGATCGCTCGAATTCGGAAATGTTCATTGTGTTTACTGCCGTCCATCAGCCAGCACGCTCCCGCTTCTCGGACTCCAAAGAATTCGGCCCACAATTCTTCGACTTGGGTGATCGGTGGCGTATATATGTACGTATGTACGATTCCTACTTTTGATCCCATCGTGATACACTGTGATGTAATGAGCTAATAGCTTCGCTAACTGCAACAGGCAGAGATAAATATAGTGAGTAAATAGTGAAATAATTTGTAGGTCTTCAGAAGACTATTATAGACTACTCTATTATATGTGTCTTAGAAGAGCAAGTGCGTCCAAATGTTATACAAAATATGCAATTGGTAATGTGACTACTCGGAGTCTGGCTATGTCTGTCGTAGATCCCACACAGCCCGCCGCCTGGTGCAACTTCAACTTGAACGCCGCCAGCTGCTGCTATTTTTAGTGGGCCTTCCACAAATCTCCCGGTTCCCCCAAACAGTCGTGCATTGGGGCGATTAGAGTAAACAATTTTCTTTATTGGAATCTTTTCTTTAGTTTTTCATAAAAAAAAGATATACAAACAAGGCAAATAAGCTTATCCTTAATATTTAATTTTAACAGTACTGGAAAATTAATATCAACTGAACTAACTCGATTTTTTGTCATCCGCCAAATAGCGATAGCGATGCCCTTCTGGCCGAGATCAATACCCTGGCTGTGACGAAGGAGGAATTCAATCTGAGGATACAAAGGCTTCAAGATCAGTTCACGACGCTTCAGAAAACATTCGATATGTTGCGGACTCAGATCTCGGAGAAGGATTCAACTATAAAGAGTCTACTTTACCTCAAGCAAATGTCACGCGATGTGCTGCGTGATAGCAAAGAGGAGGAACTGCGTTCTGTATGCCCTGACCTCCAGTCGAGCTGTGAACGTATCTGGAACAATAGTCAGGACCTCTGGCGCCTGCTGTACCTTACCGACGACGAGGACATGGAGGCGATTCAATGCGTATGCGACAAGCTACGTGCCGAGATTGCCGCCACTCGTTCGCAGCTGGAGAGTGTCCAGTCCGCTTATGATCAATCCAGTTGCGAGGTGACTAAGGAAAGCGAGTATTGCAAGCAACTCGAGCAGCTTCAGGGCCAGTACGACTCTTTAGAGAATCAGTGGATAAGCCAGCAAGGGGACATAAAGATTATGCAAGAAGACTACGAAAAAATCCAGACAAAATATGAAAAGCTTCTTCAAAATTACGTCGAGACCAATGCATCTGAAAAACAATGTCCTAAACTGCAGGCTGAGAATGCGCAGATTCTTAACGAGATTGCAACGCTAAAGGAACGAATGGAAAATGCAAAGCTCCAACTAGATCAATCTTCAAGCTACGAATCTCTTACGAAGGCGGAGAATGGGAAGCTCAAAAAGCAACTGGCTAAAATTCAAACGGAGAATCACTCCCTGTCCACCCAGGTGATGGACTATTTGCAGGAGAACGACCGCCTGCAGAAACTTCTTGATCAGAATTCGAGTTGCGATTTGAAGTTGGAGGATGCTGATCTAGCGAAGAACCAACACTCTAGGTGTAAGTTTTTCGAGCTGGCGGATAAAATCCTGCAAATTGAACTCCATACCGACTCGGAATTCTGCTACCTCTTTACATCTACTAAGCTAAAAGGAAGTCAGAGTACCGACCTTCTTCGCCTTAAGCTCTACTTGGATTCAGCCAAATTTATCGAGGATCAGTCATGTGTTCAGGATAGCACCGCTGCTACTATTTTGAACGGCTTAATACAGCAGCACAAATACAACTTAGTCGGTTTGACCAATAAGGAAATTGAAGAAGAAACAAAAGAAGAGCGCCGCCTTTCGAATACGGTTTCCAAACTTCTAAAGAAGCTTCTTAGCAAGGATGAGTTGCTGGCAGAAACATCGACAAACCTCATTAACTTGCGAAAGCAGTTCCTAACTGAGTCGAACAATGCGGTGTCATCAAGGCAGAAGATCGAGAGACAAATAAGCCTGGAAAAGGACAAATACATAGAGAAACTTAAGACTGAGATCGAGAAGCTGTCCAGCAGTGCCAGCCAGTTGGAGAAATTGAATTCCAGTCTAAACGATCGCTTTAATGTTCTGCAGAGCAAGGAGGACCAGGGCCGGAAACTACTCGGCAAAGTCCAAGACGAGCTACAGAAAACTAAAGTAGAACTTAGCACTAAGAAAGAGGAGGTTGAAGCCCTAACTGCTAACTACAAGACGGAACTAGAGACTGAGAGAGACGCTCATAGGAATAAGATCTGTGAGCTCGAGGAAGAGAACAGACATATTTCTACATCCCATATAAATGAACTGGAAGAGTTCAAAAAACTTCTGCGCGTAAAACTAGAGAAAGCTCAGGCTGATTATTTAGATGCGATAGAAGTACGAAATAAGTTGAAGGAAGCCGAAGCGGAGCGGGCAGTTCTGTTAGCCGGAATGAACGAGATGAACTCGTCCCTTGAGGATATGGTGAGCCAAAGGGACTCTGAGAGAGTAAGAGTTCTGGAGTTGGAGAAATCGAAGGCTGACCTAGATATATCACTAAAACACTTGACGATAGAAAAACATGAGCTTGACATTTCTAACAAAAAAAGCCTAGATCTTGTGGAGAATTTGCAGCTACAACTAAAGAAACTTGGCGATTCCAAAGATGGGCTCCAGGCAAAGTATGAAAAAGAGGAGCAGGAGATAATCGCCCTGCAGTCAAGGATCAAGGAGAAAGAAGCTGCGCACTCAATCACTTGGGAGAAGTTCTCCAAACTGAAAGCGGAGCATGAAGATTTAGTTGCCAAAAAAGACAGTGAAAAAATTGCGCTTCAAGAGCATGCCGATACACTCGCGGCCAAGGTGGTGGATTTAGAGAAAGAACTGATTAAAGGCAAAGAGCTCCTTAGCACCCAAGAGGAACTGAAATCTTCACTTTCTGATGCTAAAAACCTGTGCACCGAACGAAAAGTACAGATCGAGCATTTGAAGAACCAACTAAATTTGGCGGATGGGGAAGCCCTCAAACAAAACCGTGAAAAAGAAAAGCTTCGCAAAGATCTGGATCTCGCTTTGGAAGAAAAGAAGTCGGCCGTTGCGAAAAAAGAGGATATTGAAATGCAACTGGCGGATCTAAAAAACAGAATGTCTAGTCAGGCATCAAAACAGGAGAAGCAGATTTTAGATTTAAACGGCTTCATTAAAGAACTACAGTTGAAGATAAAGTTCCTCCATGAGCGTAAAGAAAAACTAGAGGCTGATATTGAGAAGAATTCACAGAATTCCCAAAATCTGGAGGTCCAGCTGAGGGAAAAGCAAAAAGCGCTTGCTGCATCATGTGAATCATACTCGAAACTGCAAAATGAGTTTAAGGCAAAAATTATTGAGAACGCTAAAACGAATATTGGCCTACATGTGAATATTGAACTTGTTAAGAAGAATCTTCTAAAAATGACCGAAGAGCGTGATGAATTGCAGGCCAAACTTGTAAGTTTTCGTTTAATTTCCAGTTTCTTAATTATTAACCCGTTTAAATTATTTATCAGGAAACCAAAGCGAATTGTGAGATTAAGATGAAGGGGCAGATTCTCAAATTGGAAAGGAAGTTAGAAACTAACAAAGCCAGAGATAAAAGCCATCGGCAGGCGGTTGCCCAAGCAACCAAGGAAATCGAACAGCTCCGCAATGAAAAGGTAAGGATAGAGCCGTTTGAATTCTTTTAAAAATTAAATTTTATGCAATTTTCAGAAAAAATTCCAGCAGCATGACATTGAAAAGAACTTGCTTATCTCCAACTTGGAGTCACAACTGGTAAGACTAGTGCCATTTTGTATTTCGCAGAGTTGTATTAAAAATATTATTGCAGATAACCAATAAATCTAAATACATAACAGAATTAGATCTTCGGGATAAAACAATTTCTAGTCTGTTGATTGACAATCGCGATAAGGGCGAAGAAATATGCACGCTCAAAGATAAGTTGGAAAAGTTAAAAAAGTTCCTGCCAGTTGCTCCAGGGAATGGCTCAGATCGCAACTCGGAAACAGAATCAGGGGTAAGGTCAACTGTCAAACATATTTAAGTGACTAAAGCTATATTTTTTTTAGGAGCGCCGAAATAGACGAATAATGGATTACGATAACAATCGTAGACAATCGGGCTGGAGCAACCTTCCAGATTCCGAAACTGCGACTGATGCAGCAGGCAAGTGTATTCTTTTCCTGACATATGCAGTGTATATTTTTTATTATGATGCCGATATTGTAGATATGAATGGGAATGGCGATGAAAGGGTGTCCCAAGAGGATCATCCGGTAGCGTTGTGTTTGCCGCGACTTCCTCATTCAGAAAATGATACTCCAAATGGAAAGTAGCGATGCTTCCAAGAATTTGGAGATTAATTCACTCAAGGTTAGTAAAATTGAATGTTGATTTATTTTTTTAATTTTTTCTATTTATTGTGGTTTATTCAAGGAACAATGCGAATGTCAGCAAAACCAAATGGCACATCTTCAACAGAAATATGAGGTGTATTTCGGGTGTATGAAATTGTCCATTCTTATGGAAGAGATTACATATCTGCGGCCAAATATCGTAAAATTTCAAAGCGGGCCAGCCGCCAGTTTAGTCACGTCGTACATACAAGTATTAAGTTCTTCCATATTAAGTGTACATATTTAAAATTCCTATTTATGTTTTTATGTTCTTTATTTAAATGTTATTTTGTTAGTCTCTAAAATAAAGAGAAGTTTAAATTAAATCTAGGAACTAGGTAACTAGGAATCCTAGCCAAATTAAGCAAAGTCCCAAACCACTAAAAACTTGAAGATATCGCGTAAACTTTGATAGTCGGCATAGATACAATGAATATCGATATTTTTATATATTATCAACAGCCCTAGTTTTCAGTGTTGACAAACACCATACAAGCTTACGCTGAGGCAAAACAGAAAATTACGGGCAAAAAATAGCGCAAACGCCTCGCAACGCCATGAACTCGGCTACAAAGGTAGGTACAGGTGCTCCGCCCGGCCCGCCAGCAAGGTAACATCTTTTTCCGCCGCCGAAACTCCAATTACCCGTACCGCAAAAAAAGGCGGCGCGGGAGAGAGTCGATAGTTGAGAGTCGTCTTCGTTTGTCTCACTCCTGCGAGTGGGAAATTTGTTGTTCCACCGGGGGGTGAAGGTGTTGGCAGAGGCGGCGGGGGTTGCGTTTGTTTTGAATTTGCACGCGGGCCGGGAGCAACAACAACAACTGGCTAACCGATTGCATCCGAATCATGGGAACTTGCAGGTTGGGGAGATATTCACGGCCGCCGGACAGGCGTTCAGCAGACTGGGCGATCTCACCATGCAGCTGCATCCCAACGCCGAGTCGCCTTCGGGGTAAGTTAAGTTGTGTAAGGAAAGCCCTGTCCCTAGCTAACATGTTCCCTCGCCATCAGGAAGTGGACAGACGAGGAGATCGACATGCTGCACTCGTCGATTATGCGCTTTTCGGACGACCTGAGCAAGATTAGCCTGAGCATCAAGAACCGCACCGTGTAAGTGAATCACTGGCGAGGGAACATGGCCAACTTTACGGACTAAAGCTAATAAACTACCTCTTGCAGATCCCAGATACGGCAGGCTCTGAAGAAAAAGGCCTTTGAGGACGCCGGCATACCCGCTAAGCAAGTGCCCGTCCAGCAAGTGCAGCAGGTCCTCCTGACACAGCCCCTTATCCAGACACAGCCTCAGCTGCAGCAACAGCCACAACCACAGCTACAGTTACAACAGACCCAGCCACAGCAGCCTTCCCTGCCTCAACAGCCCCAGCAGCAACTGCAGCCAACTCAAGTATTTAAGCATGTGGCTTTGGTGGCACAACCCAAGCAAATCATATTGCAACAGCCACTCCAGCAAAACACAGGCACCACTGTCACAGTAAAGCAGTATCATCAGATGCAGAAGGCGGCGGCTTTGGCGGCAGCACAAGCGGCAGCAGCTGCAAACACACCCACAATCACGGAAAACATCATTATCCAGCAGCCTACTTCAACTTCCACTACTGCGGTAACAGCAACAACAGGCGCTGCTGTGCTGCCCTTAGTGCCTGCTGCTGTCACAACAGTCCTAGCGCCCGCGGTTGTGATTGCCGAGGATGTGGTTAGTACCACCTCTAATCCTCCGGCAGCAGCAACTGGAACAGTTGCTGTTGTTACTTCTGGGGCGACAATGCCAACGGAAACTGGAACACCAGCGGGTCTTAAGTGTGGCCCAGATGTATCGATGACCCTCAACCGCATCAACGTTCAGGAGAATGAGGTCGATGTAGAGGAGTGCTTGCCCGCGGAGGTGGTCAAACTGGACTTTGTAAGCGAGGAAGTGGCCGGGTGAGGGCTGGAATTCTTTTACTAGCGCTGTGGAAGAAGGAAAACCACAAATCTAGATTGAGAACTCTTTAAAACAAACGGTTGAGAAGCCGCCCTAGCCCTAAGCATAAATTGTTAAGTGTTGTCATTTGATATACCTTGAAATCACCTTTGTTCCCGGCCCCCAAAACACGAAACAAGGATGTTGTGGAGAACACAGAGTGGAGTAATGATTCAGAGCATAGATATTAATATCGGAGCTAATAAGCTGCACCTAGACTTAAATTAACGCAAGACACAGTAGTGCAAAGTACGTAACGACGATCGTGTAAGTTGAAAGTGAATAAATGAGCATTATTTTAAGTTTTTGGATAATTTTTGTTTTGGAATGGTTATTATGATTAAGAGAAAGTACTAGAACTCGGGATTTCTAGCCGCCGCTGAAATGAAATTTTTTGTTGGGGTCTAGGAGCTACTATTGGTAGAAGCCCGCGAGGATGGATAGGATTTTTCTTTGGATGCGTTTGAATGGAAGACGAGCACCAAGCACCGGACTACTTGCACATTTTTTTAAATTTAAAAATGTCTGGCGTTGCCAGAATTTTACCGCGCAATAAAAAAATACATCCCCGTCTGGCAGCCCCTTTATCCAACACTAGTGTTGTATCTCTCCGTTTTCTAACTTTAATATTTCCAGCTCTGATTCAGCTGATCTTTGTTTATTTAACTTTAAACGACGCACAACTGGAGAAACGATTAGACAGTAAACAACTAATTTCTCCGTAAACGAATATTGGTTTCCATATAATCGCACGTTATCTACGGGTATTCCCGGTACCCACAGGAAAACAATATACATTGTGCGAAAATGAGGCTTGGCCATCTGCTGCTGGCAGTAGTCGCATCCTGCTCAATTATATCCACTAGTCTGGGATACAGGCCGGTCGTTATTTTGCACGGAATCCTCTCCGGGGCCGAGTCCATGACCATGTTGGTGCAGGAAATATTAGAGGTTTGTTATCGGATTCCCCTTGTTATTGTTTACGTTGCGCAAGAAACCAAAACAATGACAAGGTCAAAGTCGAGGCGCAATTTAATCGATTTCGATTTACAGGCTCATCCTGGTACTATAGTTTATAACTGCGACAAGTTCAACGGATGGTACAGTCTGGAGAATGCGTGGCGTCAAGTCGACCAGATTCGGGATTACCTTCATGAAGTCGGAAAACTACATCCTGAGGGAATTATTGTTCTGGGTAGGTTAAATTCGTTTAAATTCAAGCAATGTTTATCTTTTAATCGGAATTATCTGTATTTTAGGGTACTCCCAGGGAGGCCTCTTGGCTCGAGCAGCTATTCAGAGCCTTCCGGACCACAATGTGAAGACTTTCATATCCCTTTCCTCCCCACAGGCGGGGCAGTATGGAAGTGAGTTTGAACACGATTGGATTTATCAGTATAATCAATTGTTACACTTTTAGCAAGCTTCTTACACCTTATCTTTCCCGATCTGGCGGCCAAGACGGCCTTCGAGTTGTTCTACTCACGGGTAGGGCAGCACACCTCTGTCGGTGGCTACTGGAACGATCCGCACAAGCAAGAGCTGTACATGAAGTACAGTGAATTCTTGCCGCTGATCAACAACGAGAAACAAACCTCAAACTCCACCTCATTCAAGATGGGTATGGTGCGGCTCAACAAGCTTGTAATGATTGGCGGACCTAATGACGACGTAATTACTCCTTGGCAATCCAGGTTGGTTATCAAATAATTACTCTTCTTTGTAACCACTAATCAATTCTATTTAGTCATTTCAGTTACTATGATGAGAATTTGGACGTTATACCTTTTACCAAACGAAAGTTTTTTACAGCCGATTCCATTGGTGTGAAAACCCTTCAAGAAGCTGGTAAATTGATTATAGTTATCAAGCCCAATGTCCATCATCTGGCCTGGCACAGGCGGAAGGATGTTATCCATGAAGTAATCTTGCCATATTTGGACTAAACGAATACCCGATAACTCATCAATAAGCATAAATGTGAAGACGCCGCGGAAGTTGGCAGACTGGGATACAATGATCTTTTCTATATTTAAAAATTTAAATAGCTAATATGACAATGATAGCTAAAATAATAGTTTTAAGAATTTAAGAGTGATTGCAATGATTTATATGAACAAATATTTTTTATATGTGCTCATAATATCGATCAAAATACTTTTGACGAATTCAATAACTCATGTCGTGTAATAACTTATGTCGTTTTATTAGATAATTTAGACTTATTCAAGTTTAGCGCCTTCCTATGTATAAACCTGCATGGTGCTGCCAGATCTTGCATCAAACTGCCAGAAGCGGTCTGGCCACACTGTATTCAGGCGCAGTCAGCGGTCGAATTCGCGAATTTCACAAAGGTGGCGGCAAACAAATTGCAGGCTTTAAACAGCACATCACAGCCATGGCGGATACTAGCGGAGCAGAACAGGACACAGGCGATGTAATCCGCATCATGGTGGCCACCGACAACCACCTTGGCTATGGCGAAAAGGATGCTATTAGGGGCGAGGACAGCTTTACGGCATTCGAGGAGATCCTGGAACTGGCTGTGTCCGAGGACGTAGACATGATCCTTCTGGGCGGAGACCTCTTCCACGACGCCGTGCCCAGCCAAAATTCCCTGCACAAGTGAGTTCCTACAATCTAAATTCCTTCTGTACTGCTTCATCACTTTGGTTCTTTTAAAAAAGATGCATGGAATTGCTGCGTAGATACACCTTCGGGGATCGGCCTATTTCCCTGCAGATTTTAAGCGATCAAGCGGAGAGCTTCCACAACTCTGTGAACCAGTCGGTCAACTATATGGATCCCAACCTGAACATTTCCATACCGGTCTTCTCTATCCATGGCAACCACGACGATCCAAGTGGCTTCGGAAGACTTAGCTCTCTGGATCTTCTAAGCACCACTGGTCTGGTGAACTATTTTGGCCGCTGGACGGATCTAAGCCAAGTAGAAATCAAACCAGTCTTAATACGCAAAGGCGTCAGCCAACTGGCGCTCTACGGACTAAGCCACATCCACGATGCCCGGCTGGCACGGCTAGTTAAGGACTTTAAAGTGAACTTTTTCTGTCCCGAATCTAATAAGGAAAATGAGTCCGATGAGGATGACTGGTTTCATCTTCTTGTGGTGCATCAGAATCGAGCTGATCGCGGACCAAAAAACTACTTGCCTGAAAACTCGCTTCCTGCATTCCTGCATTTGGTAATCTGGGGTCACGAGCACGACTGCAGGATAGAACCGGAGCTGAACCCCAAGGGTTTCTATGTCTCGCAGCCGGGGTCGTCGGTTCCCACCTCACTGTCTCACGGCGAGTCCATAAAGAAACACGTCGGTCTGTTGGAGATCTATAAGAACAAGTTTAAGCTCAAGGAGCTGCCGTTGCAGACAGTGCGTCCCTTTGTCCACGAATCCGTGGTTCTTGCAGACATTGCTGACGAGCTGGAATTGACACAGGGGAACGCATCCGCAAACGTGCACAAGTATGCCAAAAAGCGCGTGGAGGCCATGATAGAGCAGGCAAAGGCTCAGCTTACGGGTCACCCACAACAGCCCACATTGCCCCTCATCCGGCTACGTCTTCTCTATACGGATGAGACCTGTATGTTTAATACTATTCGCTTCTCGCAGATGTTCAGCACACAGGTTGCCAATGCTCAGGACGTGGTGCTGTTCAGTAAGATCGCCAAGCGCAAGACAGAGAAGGAGGGGCTGCAAAGTTTGGACAAAGAGGCTATGCGAAAGGCTATGGTGAGGAAGCCAAATCCTTGCACATTTTATTCAATTTAATTCTAACCAACCACTTTTAGGAGGCGGAAAATGCTACTCGCGTGGAAGAACTCGTCGCTCGCTACTTCGATGGAGCCAATACGAAGAATCCCCTGAAGCTGTTCCACTCTAAGGCTCTGTCCGAGATGACCTTTCGTCTGGTGGAGCGTAAAGATGCCAATGCTGCCGATCATATTGTGAAGTACGACAAGAGAAAATGAATTTATGATCAGCACACATAATATTATAATTGGTTTAATTATCAGGTTCTACAGGGAAAAGGCTGTGGATCATTTAATGGACTCCATGCCCTTTGAGGAGAACGTTGGCGAAGAGGTGAACAGTTGGATGCTCCGCAGCAAGCACGAGAATCTGTTGAAGGAGCTCGACTCAAGGGGCACCAGTGTAAAGAAGGACAATAAGTCTCCTAACGCAAGCACAGCCACAACAACCGGGCGAGGGCGTGGCGGCCGTGGTGGAGGCCGTGGACGGGCTACGGCCACTGCAACCACACGGGGAAAGGGTCAGTTGGATGTCACCGTTAATACCACTGTAAGTTAAAAAGAGAATTAAGCCTTACAATATTAACATTATTTTTTTACAGCGCACTTCGTCGAGACAAACTTTGTTAAACAGTATAAAACCTAAGAAAAATACTCCAACATATGTTGTAGATGATTCCGATTCAGATTAACTCACATTCCAGAGTCCTGATAAAAGTTAAAGGATATATTTTATTAAATTTTTGCCCATTTTTTATATATTAATAAATCCTAAAAAGGAAACTTAGCTTTGTGATCGGTTAAACAATAACTTTTAACTCAATATTTATTTTATATTCAATTTCAAGGCTTTGCAACTGACCACCTCCATGGTTGCTTCAACTGCCAAACAAATTATCCTATGACTTAAGGACTACGATAAGGTAAACGGACTGCTGCCGGGCTCCATTTGGAGCGGCTGAATTTGGATCGTTCTTTGGTTGCCTAGCTGCTTCAGAACTCCGCCTGACGTGGGCAGAGATTTCTCCCGATACAGGCAACAGGCGTTACTGCTGGTGGTACTCATAGTAGTAGCGATATGGATCCACCGAGGAACTGCCACCGGCGGCCGTTACGCCCACAGTTCCAGCTGCTGCCCCGCTATTCGTCTTCGACACTGGCCGGATCACGTAGGTGTTGCGTCTACAACAGAATAGGCTATAGATCTGATTTTCAAGTACGTTTATGCGCCTGACTCACCTGTTGTGATCCCCAGCGTGCACCTGGAAGCTGGTCTCCTCACTGTGGTCGTGCGAGAATAGCTTCTTCAGCGCGATGATCCCTGCTATGGTCAGGGCAACCTTGCTAATGACGAGCGCCTTGCCGGCAATCGCCGCCAGAGCCTTGAGACCTAAGGGACCGGCGATGCCCATGGCGGTGAGTAAGGCTGCCACCACGTACTTTATGTGGCCGCCATCCTTGTGCTTTTTCTTCTTATGTCCGTGTTTGTGGCCACGCCCAACGCTGGCATCCTCGTCTCCTCCGCCAGCGATGTCGATCTTAAGAGTGTGCGTCCGTATGAGCTTGTCCGCCTTGGACAAGAGGGCGCGATCAATGGGGGCCAGGTTGCCGAACTGACGGGCATCCGTTAGAGAGCCCAGGATGCTGTCCGCTTCGCTGTGGTTCTGCTTTTCTAGCACCAGACCATCGGCGATCTTAATGGAGTCCTGGTCGAGGGCACGGGTCAGCGCATGTAGAGCCTTCTGTTTTAGGCAACCGATGAAGTCGTTGGTATCCTGGCACTCATCGTACACCCTTCTAACGAGACTCATCTCTGGGCCCAGGCCGAAGCCCCAATCGGAGGGACTCGAGGTGGGTGACTCTATTACTGTGCTGTGACGTCTCCGTCTTGGAGCAACGGCCGCCGAGGCGGTCGCCACGAACGCCAAAAGAAGCAGCCACTCTGGACGCTTCATGGTGGTGTGATTGCAAATGGAGTCGGCTGTCCTGGATGCAGTGTCCTCTTTAAAGAAGTCCGAATTCGACGACCACTCGACGGTAATCTCGTGATGCTACTGCAGCGAAATCGCTGGGCGGGAGAAGCTTTTATAAATTGTGCCCGTCGATTGCGGAGCACTCGAATGGAAAGAACTGGCGTGCCCGCTGGGAGGCAGACAGATCTTGGACGTGCCGGTGGATGGTGGCTGGTGGATGATGGGTGTTGGATGCAGCAGACGCTGGAGAGGGGCCAATTAGCATTGGCGATATTTTGTTATGCGTTCGACTGGCGCTGACATGTTTTCGTTACTCAAACCACGGATGGATGCCCATCCATGCCCAGGTTTTGCGATCGACGGGGAGCCCGCCTGCCAGAAAGTGGTACTTTTCGATTTCTATAAACATGGATTAGGTAGGTATATCTAGTATAAGGGAGAGAGCTTATGTTTTTGGATTAAAGGAAATTATTTTCTTTAACTTTTAAGAGATTTAAATTTAATCACGATATACTTTTTTTATACCTTTCCAATTAAAAAGGACTCTCTGGCAAGAAGTACATTTTCTTTGTGAATATAAAGAATACCATTATATTATATTATATATTAGGTACTATTTATTGATAAATACCTAAAGACACAATATTTTTGAGTCATTAAAACCAGAGCACTGGGGCATAAGAACTACCCAGATCCCGTTCCCCATAGTCTCAAGGCTCGACTTGTTTAAACCATGTTTATTAGCACATTAGTTCTTTAAGAAGAGTGCCCCATCTTTATGGCGTTAAAATGGTTATTATGGAGCGCAAACAATAGCAACATACATGTCTTCGAAGGCAACAACCGCTCTGCTCCGTACACGATATCTTGGTAATAACTAATGAATTTTAACGATGCGTGCAGCCGAGTGATTAAGTCCATGCCGGCGGCTACTGCCCCTTGGACTTGGACTGGGGATCGTCCGCAAATTGGTTATCATAAATCGCAAATGCTGTGGCGGGCGGAGAAGGCTGGGGATGGCCGGGGGATTCCCCGGCGATGCCGTGCAGTGATCGCTGCACATTTGGCTCACTGGCCCACTGGGTGAAATTGAGTTGGATACAGTTAAGAAATTTTCTTTTCTGCGCATCAACTGTGAAACCCAACACCCCATCCCCCAGGCTCATTTCCACAGCCTTGCCATTCGCTTTTGAAGATTGTCGTGGATGGGAGGTGACAGTTGGCTTTTAAAAGTGTCTAAGACACTTTCGTCTGGCATTAATCAGTTAATTACTTTTTTGTTTTTAACCAGATCACGATAATCACTATCGTTAAAATGAGTGATTTTTTTATGACGATTTCTAATTATAAGACAGATACACATAGGGGTTAAGTGAAGTGTTTTTTTTTTTAAATATTTGAAAGACAAAGATAGTATTTTATTTTCTATAAAATGAAATATATCAAAAAAAACTTTTTGCGTTCTTTAAGAAATTAAAAAATCTTAAAAATTTCAAATGCTCCTTACATATTTCTTTTGCTAATAATAGTACTAACTAATAACCTAGTTACGAATTACCTTAAAAGATTTCTAGGTCGTCATCCCCCCATTCTGCATTTAAATCCTGAGACAAAATATTCTTTATTTTTTTGTCCACTTTTCTTGATGGGTTCCCTTGAAAATGCGGTTTTCCCCTAAATGGCCCAGCGTTATGGCTATATCTTCCCCAATACTCATTCGATTCTCAATCGGAGTACCTTAAACGATTTCTGGATCGATTTGCTACCATTCTGCATCTAAATCCTGAGACAAAATTTTTTTGTAAATTTTTTGTCCATTTTTCCTGATGGGATCCCTTGAAAATGGGGCTTACCCCTATATGGCCCACGGTTATGACTATATCTGCCCCAATTCTCATCCGATTCTTTAGTGGAGTACTTTTAACGATTTCTGGATCAATTCGCCACCATCCTGCATCTAAATCCTGACAAAAAATATTGAAAATGGGGGTTTCCCCTATAGGATCCCTATGACAGTTGGTACACATGTCGTATTATATTGCCAAAAGTAGAATACATAAAAACCCCGAACTCTTGATCAATCTGTTATATGGCAGCTATAGTATATAGTCGGCCATCTCCCCTGTTCCGACTTATATTTTGCGTGCAAAGGAATGAAGGGTGTGTGCAGACAACAGACAGACGAACATGCTCATATCAACTCAGGAGGTGATCCTGATCAAGAATATATATACAAGGGTAGACCCTTGTACTTTAGGGACGGATTGTCTCTTTCACTGCGTTGCACACTTTTGACCAAAATTATATTACCCTTTGCAAGGGTATAAAAATCTCAAAAATTCCAAATGCCTTCCAAATAGAAAGTCCCTTTTTCAACTTCATTCTTGGAAAATGCGTTTAAAAAGTGGAATGTTTCCAACAAAAATTTTGGTTCCTCGGCCAAACTGAATCCAAAGTTTGTATCTTCAGAGAAATATATAGAAAATACCATGTAGCCACATTTGTAAATAACGAGACGCACAACATATGAGTGCCACGCACACGAATCCTCTGCTCAAGAGGGCGTAAATAATTTAATACATCAAGAAAATTGGAAATGAAAGTTTCTTTGTTTTGGTTTGGCGTGGCCGCAGCTAGCATTTAGTTTCGACATTCGCAGATAGCAGATACTCGGCTGGCCACCCACCACCTCCACCCACCAAAAACACGACCCACGGACGGACAATTGTGCGATTTATTTGCACATTTCTGGCCGGACAAGTGAGATTCCTGAGGGCGGACGGGAGCCATGTTCATGGGTTTTTGGACACTCTTATCGTCAATAATCATCATATGCTCAAATTTTTGGTCGCTTAATTGGAAAATTGTTGTTGTTTTTGCGATACGCCTGAGCGATTGCTCGATTGGATGGCCAGGATCTGAGCCAGGGATCCTGTAGTGGGATAAATGGATGATTGGTTTGGCTGCCGAGTACCATTTGATTGATGGCCTTCGTACATATATTGTTATTGTTTTGCGGCCTTGTTGTGATAATATTTGGCCAGAGAGGCCAGTTTGATTGGCATTTCAGCACAGTCTTGCGGCAGGTTTTAGGATTGTGACCACAGTTCTATCTACACAATAAAATCCATTAAACTTTAATAAAATATAACAAACAAAGCCACTGACCAATGGGCGGAATATTTTTTCTCCATTCCTCGGTAGCGATTGCGCAAAAGCCGAAAGTCCTTCGAGGGTGGAATATGAGTTCATATCTCGTCATATTTCATAACACCCACTTCCTGCTCCGTTTTTGTGGTGGAGAGCGTGATACGGTTGGTGGGCGTGAGTCAAGTTCCAGTCCAAAATGGCGTCCAAAACTTCCTGCTGTGTCCAGGGGATGCACTTTCGGCTCTTTGAAGTTTTACTCAAATTGGCAAATGACAGACCCCAGGGAAGTGGGGACTATAAGTCCTCTTGAGTGTGCACCTTGTTGGAAAATGGTCTCATATCAAAAGAAGTCGAAACCACAAAGAAAATCTCAGCGGAACATTTTCAGCTACATCAAATCATCGAGTCCCGTATCCGTATCACTAGCCCGTATCTCCGCCCTGTTTGAACCTGTCCCCCCAGCTGCCTCCGGGCACCCCTCGTAGAAGGACAAAGAATTCGTCCCCCTGTAGTCCTTCCAAGCAACTTTTCCACCTTCATATTTTCTGTCTCTGGCGGCTGCGGTTCGTTCGCCTGAACTTTCAACTACTTGCCAAGTTTTCACATTTTAAATTTGTTGGCTTGTTGCTTGTGCAGGGATTTTTTTTACCTTTCAACAAAAGTTTCTTTGTTTTTCTTGGAGATGTTCTTGAGTCTTGCAGAGGAAAGCATGAAGAGGTAGTGCTAGGGGCTGTTTCTCGGTATTTTCAAGAATAGCTATATAGAACCTATTTTTCCAAGTGTACTTACATTTTAAATGTAAAAATCAAACTCACATCCTTCCTCCAGTTATGTTGCCTACTTATGTACATATTTGAGAGGCGAGGCGGGGATTTACAAAAATCTTCCATTGAGTTCATGCTTGCACACAGCCTTTCCAGGACACAACTCAAATATGGAAGGATATGGGCGAATTTTGTGCTCAACACTACTTGGGGCATCGCCACAAGCTGTGGTCTGTGCCCAAAATTTGCTTACACTACATATTTTTGCAGTTCACCTTTACTTCATCTAATAAGCTTCGTCCTGGCGATGGCTCCTTTGTTCCTTGCCCTCACATCGTTATCGATGGATGGCACTGCGAGTTGAGCTGGAAAAATGTTTTCGTTTTAGCCACCAGTCCTCTGCCCCAGCCGCCTCAGAGGGCGTGGCGAGAGCCAGGGCGATGGGTGGTGGGCGGAGTGGAGAGAAAAATAAATTGTTGCAAACACAAACAGAAATATAATTTTTGTTGCCTCGCATCTACATGGGCCACACATATTTATGGCATGCCAGCACGTACGCGATATATTGCAACCCAATCGCTAGACGGAGGAGGAGAGGGCGAATCGGGAGAGGGCCTGGTGTGCTTTTATTTATTTGGTAAACTTCGTTTATATCGCACACAATCCGAGAATCCCCAGGAAGGAGAGTCCCCCCGATCCGAGGAAGCCGAAACCCAAACGGACGCCATGTTGAATGCGTTGTGTTGTGGGATGTGTGGGGGGGTGGTTGTCGTTGGGTGCTGCTGGTGCTGAGGGGGTGGTCGTCACCATCATAAAAGCGTGGCTGAGACCCAGGACTCAGAACTCCAGGACCCGGCATCCAGGACCCATGTAGCCTGTGTTTGTTATGCTTGTCAAGCATTTTGCGCGGTACTGTCTAACGATATTTCGATTTTGATATCTTTGGGTGTTATCGTTAAATGTCTGTCTGTTTTGTTGGCGGTGGGTGTGGGTGGTTTGGGTGGTGCGGGGTGTTTAGGGGAGGTCACAAAGTATACAATGTGCCATGTTGATTATGGTCTCATTTTTGGTATTTACTTTTCATTTTACTTCTTTTCGACACTAAAAGAAATTGTATTTCGAATTTGTGAAACATATTTAAGTTCGTGCTTAGTT